TCCTTCCTTCCTTCCTTCCTTCTTTCCTTCCTTTCTTCCTTTCTTTCTTTTTCTTTTTTTCTTTTAAACAAGATCTCATGTGTCCCACACTGGCTCCAAGCTTGCTAGCTGAGGATGACTTTGACCTCCTAACCCTCCTGCCTCCTCCTTTCATATACTAGGATCACAAATATGCACAACCACACTTAGTGTTTGAGATGCAAGGATGGCCCCCAGGGCCGCATGCATGCTAGGGAAGAACTGTGCTAACTCAGCTCTGTCTCTAGCTTCTGAATCTCTGGTTACGTGTTTCCAGTTGAAGGGGAGGGGGTATAAAAGAATTCATAGCGAAGAAAAACTGACAATGGAGTTAAAAGGGTAAAACCATGTACAGACGTGGGGTACCATGAGAAGGTCAGGAAACACTTGGGCTTCTCCTGTGTGACAAAGAGAGGGAACAGAGAGGAGAGACCAGCAACAGGCCTTAGCCTTGACATGCCAGAAGCAGGGAGAGTTGCCCAGTGTCCCAGAGGCCATGGGCCTGGTGCTGGTGGGGCTGTCTTCAGGCTGGCCAGGCAGTCTTGCTTCCGGTAACTGAAGAGTTCTGGCCTGTCAGGAAGAAAACATGGGTCTCCTGAGCATTTGCTGCCGGCTTCCTTTCACATCTGTCTGTTCCCCTCTGGTTCAGGGTTACAAAGCCCATTCGTTCCAGTCAGAAGGTTGGCAGCTTGATCAATGATTTCCTGTGCCTTGATGATAAATGCCTTTCCTCTTTAGAAGATAAATTTGTGTTTTGAGGGGGTCGATGTTCTTTGATTTCTTTATAATAGAACTTCATTCCAATCAGTTTCCTAACTGTGGCCTGTTCCGGGGCTCTTGGCCAAAACAAATTCTGCTGATGACAAATGACAGAAGCCACAGGAAAGTCATGTGCTCCTTAATTTAAGGCATGGATAAGGCCACGGAGAGTGGCTAGGCCAGGGCCTCTTTCCTCTATAGATCAGGAAACAGGGTCCCCAGAGAGAGGAAGAAGTGTGTCCAGGATCACGTCGCCACTTCTAGCCGGCTCCACTTCCCCTGAAGGCTGTGGGGAGAGTGTCTGTGATCTGTCATGTTAAAAACTTGTCAAGACAGACCTCCAGTTCACACTAGACCTACAGGCTGCCAGGAAATATTCATCCTATTTGATTCCCCCCCCCCCCCAAAAAAAAAACTTTCAGTTTTGTAGGCTGGGCACACAGGAATTTTTTTCTTTTAAAGCAGTAATATTTATGCTTTCTTAATGATCTCTGATTGTCTCATAAAAGTTATGTGTGATGACCTGTTGGACCAGGGCTTGGCAAAGTATTGGGGCTAAATGGGTTCCGTGAGGTTTTATCAGCACATAATGCATGTTCCTGAACTTATCTTCATAAAGGCAGAGTTGAATACCTGAGGCAAAGAGCTTGGGATTTGCAAAACCTAAAATGCTTCTGACCCTTTACAAATTTTTTTTTTTTAAATTTGAAACAGGGTCCTTTTTTTTTTTTAAATTTATTTTATGTGCATTGGTGTGAAGATATCAGATCCCTTGGAACTGGAGTTACAGACAATTGTGAGCTGCCATATGGGTGCTGGGAATTGAACCTAAGTCCCCTGAAAGGGCAGCCAGTGCTCTTATCTGCTGAGCCATTTCTCCAGCCCTGAGATGAGGTCTTAAAACATGTTATGTAGCTGAGGCTGGTCTTGAACTCCTGATCATCCTGCCTCCACCTTCCAAGTGCTGGGATTACAGTCTTGTGCCATTGTATCAGGTTTATAGGAAAAAGGCTTGTCAAGTCCTGTAGGAAACACAGTTAAAAATGGGGAAATCACTGTCAATGTCTCTCCCCCAGAGATGTAGGTTGACTGTGGTTTAACCATTTCACAGCTAAAAGTTTTCAAAGTCTTTGTTTCCCAACGATCAGCTCCTGGAAGGAGAGTGGATGGCTTTTAGATATGGTTCATCTCTGACCTAATCATACTTAGCATAGACCAGTGGTTCTCAACCTATGGGTTGGCAACCCCCTTGGGGTCACAGTTTAGGATTCATAACAGCAGCAAAATTGCAGTTATGAAGTAGCAGCACAGTACTATGGTTTGGGGTCACTACAACACGAGGAACTGTGTTAAAGGGTCCGAGCATTGGGGAGGTTGAGAACCACTTGTGTAGAAGTCAGCACAAACAGTGCTGGCTACACCTCGCCAACAGTAACAAGCAATGGGAGAACCCTTGCCCAGCGTACACAAGGCCCTGGGTTCAGTCCTCAGCTTGGGGCTCGGGGAGCATGTTAAATAAACAAGCGGGATCTCCTTTGCTAATGGATTTGGTTTTGACTCCACTGATTCAGGGGCAGGTTCAAGGCAGTGGTGTGTGTCCTGTCTGCAGTTACAACGTGCCTGGCGTTTGTCAAGCCCGCCATCAACAATATCTCCCTGATGACTCTAGGGGTCCCATGCACTGCCCTGCTCATTGCAGAACTGAAGAGGTGAGTGCCCTTCTTCTTGTCTTTTGTTGCCTGGGTAACCATTTTCTTCTGGGAAGTTGTAGATGAAGACCTCACATTCATATGCAGAAACATTTTAAAAATATATATTTTGCCGGGCGGTGGTGGTGGCGGCGGCGCACGCCTTTAGTCCCAGCACTTGGGAGGCAGAGGCAGAGGCAGAGGCAGAGGCAGAGGCAGAGGCAGAGGCAGAGGCAGAGGCAGAGGCAGAGGCAGAGGCAGAGGCAGAGGCAGAGGCAGAGG